TATGGTTTCAATAGATTAAAAAATGCATTCCAACAATTACAAAGGTAGAGCATTTGTAGATTTCACACCGTCATTCGAGAAGGGAGTACATCGGTCTAGGGCGCAATGACGTTTTATGGAAGAAATTAATTCCAATTTCGAATATAAAAAATATAACAAGAATTAGGAACTTTCGAATAGCTAAGTAAAGTGTTAATACTTCGTAGTGGCAGTTCTGAATGCAATGTAAAATGTTTAAGAGAATACATAATAGGGGTATTCACGATCCGATGCACACTGTCTAGCATGGTGCATAGATAGCATTATTGGCTTATTTTTGTTGTTGTTTGAACACATGAAACAACAACAATCGTGCCATTTATGCTATCTATGCACCATGCTAGACAGTATGCACCGGATCGTGAATACCCCTAATATGATTTTGTTAATTTCTTCCTTTTGACCACTTTTCCCCACTTTTTCCCATGCCTACAAGTAAATATATTATTATTACAGTAAAGGAAAAAGAAAGAAATAAGAATAAAAATTCATATGATCAAAAGATGATTGTACCTAAAATCTAGTGATTGTACCTAATGTACCTTTAGGTCTTCAAACGTCGGAAAAAGGTATAATTGTACCTACTTTTTCATCCCTGATATATACCAATATAAAAACATATACAAATAAATATGTATCTTCATAAATGTGCATAAAATTAAATATCTCATTCGAAACACTTGCGTTCAAGTAGTCAGAAATACGTACATACATACATACATACATATGTACATATATCAATTTTGGGTCAACAAGAAGCCAAGATAATTATTACAAAATTATTTCACTTAACACATTTAATCAAAGGCGGACGCAGCATTCGATGCATATTCAAAACAAAACAAATACAAGTGCATATAGGGTTACAACAAAAACTAATTGGAAAATAACAACATAAACAAATGAACTTACCAAATTTTTATACACTCTAACAACGGTCTAACTGTCTGTGTTTGTACGAATAAGCGAAAAACTAAATTAACATCCATATGATTTCAGCAAATCAACGGCTAACTGTTTTTATGAGAGAGAAAAACCGGTATGAAACAAAGTACGTATGTAAGTATAAATTCAACCAGCGTGAGGAGAAAAGTAAGGCACCGAAAACCGCGCTTGAAGAAGTCTGGAGTTCCACACAAAACAGCGCGAAGCGCCAGTGAGTTAGCTAGCCTAACAACGCTCGGCATCGCGTTTGATTAAGCACAAATACGACCATGACCTCGCCTATTGTGCCCAAAGAGCACAATAAAAAAATGATATAATAACAATGGAGCTACGAATGGAAAAAAGTAAAACGAAAGCGAAAGTGATTAGAAATACATACATACATGTGTACATCATCTTAAATAAGGTAACGTTTGGTATAGCTTCGAAAATACAACAATTTGCTTAATGGACTATATTCTATGGGTTCGCCATTTATTATACACAGTTCCACCACTTTTACAACTCAAAGCGTTTTTTATTGGCGAATTTTTAATTAAAATTATTTATAGCAAATGCAGTCCCAATCAGTGTCCGCCATGCTGAGAGTCACCTCACGACTCGCAGTACCTCTTTGCATGCCCTCTAAACCCCACTCAGCTAACGCTCCTCTCCCTCGGGTCCAACCCAGTCGGAAGGGCACACTTCCTGGGTCTCCTGTTAGTTGAGCTTGACGAAAACAATAGAGGGGCCAGTCGGTCTAGGCAGGATTAAGTAAGCCCCTATAACAACAAAAACGCCTCATAAGAACTTTTGCGCGGGCGAATGCGAAAATTGTGTTGAAAAGCAAAAACGGTTTGTGAAGTAAAAATTTTTAGTTTAGGTTGAAACTGGAGAGCGAAATCCTCCTCACACACATAGGCCAAGGATAGTTAAGTCCTGGGGAATCATGTGAAATTATTAATACCTTTTGATGTTATGAACTCACTCGGGTGCAAACCACTTTGTTATCGCGTTGAATATTTTCAGGTCTGGAACTTTTGCGTCCATTCGAATGACATGAGCAAGCTAACGGAGACTGGGTATAAATTTGTGCGAATGTGCTGGCCTCGTTAATTTGCAGGCTCATTCGTTTCGGTTTCCTACAAACATATGTACATTACCTTATGCAGCTCTTTTTATATTCTACGGCATCTCTGAAATCTCGTTAAATGCCGAGGGCAAGAAGGAGCTCAACGTCATTTTACTCAATATTTAGTGGAGATAACAAATTCGGATATTCCTGTGTATAGGCAAATCCTGTTCGTTTTGTCAAAAGCAGCTCTAAACTCTACAAAGGGACGAATAGGAAAAGTAGATGATCGATCCCACTTTCGCGGTTATTTTAAAAGATTTGATCCACAGCGGAGTTCCCACATAAATTAGGTCCAATCAGCTCCTTGACGGTGGACATGCACCTATTCAGCGCCCGGCGTCTTACTTCAATAAGCTTACAGCCTTATTATGTATCTCGAACGATAGGCCGCGTGAACCATTCGCCGGCAGACGACATCGTCCCGGCTTGCAATTTTGTTAGGTACTCTATCGGTCGTCTTCGTCTTGCTTTACATCGATTAGGTTTCAATCGTCTCAGTTACGTTTAAACCGGCTAAAATGATTCCGCCGAACAAATTTTTTAAGCATTCCTCTGCTGACGAATCTTTCGTGCGGCCTATCGCTCGAGATTGAAAATAAGGCTGTTAGCTGGAACCTCGTTAGTTCCAGCAACTTTATTGTTCTTAAACTCGAGATTACTATTTGCAACTTGTCACTTTGTGCGGGGTTTGGATTCATTTTAATAAGTGCTATCCTTTCCGCCAGTTAGTCAGTGTTAAGCTGAGAAATACACCGTTATTGCCCTACCTACGTAGTACGTAAGTACAGGTGGGCCGCGTTTCGATTACTGAATTACTTGTTCGAACCAATGCACAGGATATGGAAGTATGGATGCACTTATAAATCTTACATTTTTGTTGTTTTAGAATTTTGCATCCATATATGGAGCCCACTTTCATTTCGCTCTCAAATTCGTTTGCGACAAAAAATTTACTATGGCCAAATTCATTACTACAAATTTGACTCTGGTTAAGCAACAAACTCACTGACTTATACAGGTAATATCGGTTTATCGAAACAACAACTATTAACATATTGAACTAGTGTCAGCAGCAACACACAATTCCGCAATAAAAGCAACAGTAATAATTTAATGTTTGAGCGGTGGATGTTAACGTTAGCCAAAAGTCCCAAAAACATTAAAGATTAACGAACAAGTTGCCGCCAAACGAAAATCAACGCATAAGAAAGTGAAGAAAAAGCCACGAAAATGATGCCGCGGAAGCTGGCCGACGACGCACAGTGTTCGGTGTAGTGACTAAAAAGTTGCAAATTATATGGCAGAAATACTCTCGGAGGTTTCCCATTGCCTGTCGAGGGGCGTCCGTTATTAGAAAAGACGTTTTTAAGTTTTATTTTTTGATGTAACCTTAACTTGCTTTTATGTGTTTTATAGATAAAACTAAAACCATACCGTGGAACCCATGAACCATTTGGTTCAATGAACTATTTGGTTCATGATCAAAAGGTCTTTATATCAAAAAATTAAAATACCAAACGAGATGGACTCACCCTCACGAAGCAATAATGGGGTATCTCAACTTCACCGCGTGTTATCGAATCTTTAGAGGTCATAACAACGTAGTTGGACCAAAATAGTTCACAAACTGCACCTCTACTTCTAACGGTAACATGAAATAAAGAATTTGGTATATAATATCTCATATTGTTTTGTGTTATTGCTTTCGTTTTCTTTTTGAATCTTGAATTGTAGTCTTCGGACCAAGGCGTATTTAACAAGGTGGTGTTGGCCGTATATAAGTAAAAAATTACACTAACAAATTATACGCTGGTGTCCATACTGTCATTGGTATGAGTTACAACAAACACATCATTTTGACGTAATGGCCTCCACGGCGAAAAACTCAGCTGTCGCCCTAACACCACCTTGTTTAATACACCTTGCTTCGGACGATGATTTAAATGAATTACAAATTCGACAACATCTGGACGGGTTGCTCATTTCGAGCTTGGGAGAGTAAAAGTTTGTAATTTGACTTTTGCCAAATTTTACTGTCATCCAAACTGTTATTTGTTGGTTCTGTGCTGGCATGACAATTTTTTTACAACCTGACGAAACCAAAATGGAACAACATAATTTCAAAACTGCGAAATTCCATGTCAACGCGAGGCCTTGGAGCCATGAAGTGTGCCAATAGGGATACATATTTCTTCTCTTCTTTTGGTGCTTGTGCTGCAACACTGCACTGCAGAATCGTGGTTGTTTGGTTACAATCTCTAGTAATTATACTTACGGAGGAAAAAGTGGAATTATCTGTGATAAGGGGCATATTTAATTGTAACTTTCATTTAGATCACATTGTTAGTAAAGACGAAGTCGACGATGAACTGGCGAGAAAAAATTCTTCAGCCAAAAAACCGTTTGTTACCATTTTAATAAGGCTGCAGACAAGAAGACACTCGACGTATAGATGTTATACGAGCCAATGCAAAGAAGCCTCTTGGATTGGAACAAAACTGGCCCATTCCTTGAGCTGATGATGAATACTGGTTACGTCGTGCTCAAATCGCTGTTAGTCGACGCAATAGCTTACCAAGTTCGGATTGACAGCCAGGCAGGTTTTACTATGTGTTTTGTGATTGGCAGGCAACTATTCACCATAAGCTGTTCCCCAACGCTAGAACTCGTAATTTTGACCAGAATTGTGGACAATTGGACGGTCTGAAGAACCGCTTGCGCAAATAGGTGAAGAATTGTGTTTTAACCCCAAGCCACACTTATTGATAGTGAGTCGCCACGAGACGGTACATAATTCACTTACATAAATCGGTTGATTCTAAGTCTTAAATTTTATGCAATAAAATTATAGTTTAAAAAACTGAAACCTCGCTATTATAATTTCCATTCGTACTGTCACCAGGTATGTAACTTGAGAATAGAAATCGCTGCATCTTTTAGGCGCATCAATATTACATAGTTACATCCCGAGCTAATAAATGGGAGGTAATAAAAATAGTCGATTTCGCTTTACTTTATACATCTTGTATTTTTGTTCACATCTTTAATGGAGACGAAACACTGTGCAAATCTCCGTTACAAGCGCTCTTGCTGCTGCTGGATGTGTGAATGAAAAAGCACGTAAAACAGATAGTGGATAGTAGATAATGATGATGGCGATGACGATGATTCGTGATTGGTATGTGGCGTATCGGCTTTTGAAATGCTTGTTGCTATTGCTGGCTTGCTATTTTATTTTTTGGGGATTACTTGTTTTTAAATGTTGCCGTTTCATTGTGTTGTTGTTGCATTTTAAGCTTCTTTCGTAGTAGCGTTAATGGAAAACTTATGCAGACTCTTTACGATGCCGTTTCAGAGTTCAGTCTCTTTCTGCTGCGTATGGTTGTTTTTGTTGCAGTTAATGATTACATGCACGATTATGATGGCCTTTGTAAACGCTTCCGTTGTTCGTTGGCTGAATGACCAAGGAGCGCGCAATAAAAACACACACAAAGATATATTTGAAAATTTTTAAAAGATTAATTTACTTGAAAATTGCCGGCCCTTGAGGAGTCAATGTTGAGTAAATATTGATTTTCTCTTCAGCTGTTGTTGGTGTTGCACTAATGAGTTTCGTGTTTGTACGTAACATATACCTACATACATGGAAATGCACATACACACTAGTGCTTTTCACCGCTATTGAGGTTAGCCTGCAGCCTACATAGTCGTTTCCTTTGCATTTCCTGTATATTTTTTGACAATGTTTGCGCGTTCAAAGTGTCTTTCAGGTGGGCTGCTGCGGAAGTGCTGGAGCGCCAAAGCAAATGCGACGCTCTTTGGCAGCGCCTGTGCAAAAGCAGACAGGCGGCACTCGTTGTGGAGTAAATACCCAAAACAGAGAGAGTAATAATGCGCGCTGCTACGTGCGCAAAGGTCACCGCGCGGCGAAGCGATTACGTGAAAGACTTGCAACGCGCTGGGCCTGTGCAGCAGCCGACAGCAAGCAACAGCTGGCATAAACAAACAACTAGCAACTGCGACTAGCATGCATGGAGCATCAGCTTGACTACCAGCCGAGATATGTATGTATGTCTGCTACTGCCGCTGCGTTGGCTTGGCCGCGCGCTCTAGGGAAGATTTTGTGCGGCAGCGACGTTGGTTTTTTATTATGCCATATTTCAGATGTGTGCTTATGCGCGATTTTTGACCACTACCCCTCGTCCCGCTGCTGATTAAAACATATTTTATGTTAAAGCTGGAGCGCGCGCTAGCTGGCTGTGGCTCTGGACTTGATCGCTGCCTCGCTTGGTGACTGAGCGCTTAAGCATATGTATGGTGGCTCGGGCCGTTGTTTGTTGTTAGCTGGTTGGCAGACTGGCGTACCGCTTACATAATATCCGAATGTGGTGTATAAAACGCTGCACTGTGTCAGTTGGCGTATCATTTGTAGTTTACCATTCAACGAATTCACAGACCGGAAACGAAACACACAGACGGTCTGCAGCTCCTGGCGTAGTTACAAGAAAAAGTGATTTGATTTCCCCAGCAGACGAGATGGCCAAGTGGTTCATAGTGCGTATTAGTGATTTTTGTGGATTAATTTCGGCGGATACTAATGGCTTGGTTTTCTGTTTTTTTCTTAATGTTTTTTTATTGCAGTTAAGCGTTCTGCTACTTGCCGGTGGTGCAGTGCATAGCAAGCCTACTTTTGGCAAGGAACATGTTCACATTCGCATCCACCTGCCCGAGGAACATGGACATGACGATCATGGGCATGGCGGCGGTGGGTACGGTGGTGGTGGTCATGGCTATGGTGGCGGTGGCGGCGGGCACGACGACATTATTGGACCATTGACTGGTGGCCTGTTGGGCAATGGCTTCCTCAGTAGCGGCCACGGTGGTGGCGGCGGCCATGGTCACGGTCACGGCGGTGGTGGTGGCCATCATGAAACCATTATTGTTGATGCAGGAGGTCATGGAGGCGGTGGTGGTGGCGGTCACGGACATGGACACGGTGGTGGCGGTGGTCATCATGAAACCATTATTTTAGATGCTGGTGGGCATGGCGGCGGTGGTGGTGGCGGTCACGGTCATGGACATGGTGGGGGCGGCGGCGGTGGGGGTCATCACGAAACTATCATATTGGATGCTGGTGGTCACGGTAGCGGCGGCGGCGGTGGCGGTTATGGTGGTGGTCATGGCGGCGGTTATAGTGGCGGCCATGGTGGTGGTGGTGAAGCCCATACACTAATCATCTCAGACGCAGGCGGTCATGGTGGACACGGCGGTGGTGGCAGCTATGGTGGTGGATACAGTTCCGGCGGACATGGTGGTCATGGCGGGGGAGATGCTCACGTAGATACTTATGCCATTATTAAAGAATCTGGCGGTGGGTATAGTGCGAGCGGTCATGGCGGCGGTGGCTATAGTTATGGAGGCGGTCACAGCAGTGGAGGCGGGGGTGGCGATGCACATCTGGCTAAATTAGCAGCGGTAGCGGCAACGTCTGGTGGCTCTCACGGCAGTGGAGGCGGCGGTTATGGTGGTGGCGGCGGCGGTGGTCATGATGACAGTCATTTAGCTGCAGTGGCAGCCGCCGCAGGTGTATCTGCGCATGGCAGCAGCGGCGGTGGCGGTTATGGCGGTGGCGGTTACAGTAGCGGGGGTGATGCGCATTCCATTGCCAATATAGCTGCGGTAGCCGCTTCAAGCGACTCACACGGCAGCGACGGCGGTGGTTATGGTGGTGGCAGTTATAGCAGCGGTGGAGGCTATAGCAGCGGGGGAGATTATAGTAGCGGTGGACACGACGATGCCAAGATTGCAGCGATAGCCGCGTCAACAAGCAGCAGCTCCAGCGGCTATGGTGGGTATAGCGGCGGAGGCTATAGCAGTGGTGGCTACAGCGGTGGTGGAGGTTATAGCGGCGGCGGTCATATCGACACAGCTGTTATCGCCTCAGCAGCCGGTGCGCACGGAGGCTCAAGCGGCGGAGGGGGAGGTTATAACTATGCACCCGCTTCCGGGGGTGGCGGCTGGCAATCGGGTGGAAGTGGTGGTTGGGCGGCGTCAGGCGGCGGTGGTGGCGGCAGCAGTGGCTGGTATAAACGCAAATGAGCGCCGCGTGTAGGCAACGCGTTCACACACAAAACAGCCGCCCAAAGTTTAGTTATTTAAGCAAGCGCATAAATATGTTTTCTACTGCTGTTGTAGATACGTCTAAGGTTAAGCATATTTATTCTAGTCCACTAATGCTGGGGGAAACTGCGGAGGGAGGATGCGATCGCGCATACGCATTTAACGTCGTTTAGCTGCTCACCGCACACATCACCTTAAGCGTTCAATACGCTCATCTTAAATTATGTTCAACAAAGCACAAATCATTTTGTTACATAAGTACATATGTAAATACATCCGTTATGTTCTACTTTAAAACAATTAGTACTTTTATGAAGTGAAAAGTGTTTAAAATAAATTTAAATTATATATTAATTTGTACATTTCATTTTCTTACAACTATATAAAGTGCTGAAAGCAACTGACCTAACATTTTTAGAGCCAGCTAAGTTGCCACTGACGCGTAAGTGTTACGCGCTTTAGTCATTGTCTAATGTAAACGCCTACATAGTCTGCGTTTTAAAAAAATACTTGCCATCTGCTTCAGCTGCCACGCGATGTCTTTTGAATATCGGCCTGTAGGAGTAGAGCGTGTCTGAAGTGCCGCTCGAATTGTTTTGATTGCACTGCTACACTTTTACTTTTCATAAAAAAATATTACAAAATTAATACATAATTATATCTACATTGCCACAGTGATTATGCCAATTTTCACAAAAAAAATTATATACAATTACAAACTTGCCAAAAAGGCAATGGCGGAGCTCATAAAAGCGCAAGCCAAGCGATCCAACTCCGCCCGGCTGGGGATTTGCGATTTACAAAAGAAAATGCAATGTCGCAATTACCGTTATGATGGCACTTAAATTATTTGGGTTTAATTCGCACGTCATTGTACATACATACATACATACATATGTATGCAAGTATAAAGAGTGTATGAAATAAAAATATAAATAAAATGTAAAATAGGGAAGTGGTGCAAACTTAAATGATGAATTGCCAAAACCAAAAGTGACAGGAGAATGGGCGCGACGTACTTAGATGGGGACACTGCGCTAATTACCCCATAGCGAATGTCATGTAATAGTCACTTAGGTGTTGTGTCTGGCCATGTTAAGTCTTCAATGTCGTTCATGACGAAGTCGTTCATGACTTTTTCATACAAATGATAATTTGGTCTTTGCTGGCCTCTGCATGATTTTGATCAAGCGACAATGCCCTGCCAAAGACTTTTTATAAGTGACCGCTGCAAGACATTGTCTGTTTGATAGGAGTACACCTGCATGACATTGTCACCAGTGTCATTGTCAGCTATATGTCGCTTAGGATTCACAGAAAATGGGACGATGTCACTAAATCCACATTAGTGACGATGTCACCAGTGACCATTTTCGCTACATATGTATGTATACGTCCGCTGTGGTGATTGGCGCTAACACAATAGGTTAGTGTTTTGCCGAGCTTCTCCCCGATTTGTTGCATGCGCCTTGTTGCTGTCACACAAACGGGCGGGACCTACAGTGGCAGAGGTACACTCGGGCTTTACCTTCCAAGAGGCAACCGCTTATGGAAAAACTTTTTCTTTTCTTTTGCTTTGGATGTTAGTCGGAAACTGGGCTCGGTCCCAGGCCCTGCTGAATAGTAGTGCGCACTTCTAACCACTAAACCACAGCGACCGTCAATTCCTTAATCCATAATCCTTCATATCTTTGTATTTTTGTAGTTGAATAATCAATAGTGAGCGTATAAGGAAGCCTGGAATAAAGAAAATCCTAGAGCATCGGTTCTCAACCAGTGGGTCGCGGAAGGATTACAGATGGGTTTACCTAAAACTTTCCGAATCAATTGAATAAACCATAAGAACAGATAAGAAAAATATAAGATTAAAAACATTTTCTTCAATCCTGACATTGACGTGTTAGTTCAGTCATTAATATTGTATTCTTACTTAAATTTAAATTGTGATAACAATTTTCTCCAACCGTAACACCGTGAGATAATCAATTTTACACACACAACAGGTAATATATTCGCGAAACTACGGGCCGAAAATAGTGAAACTACGTTTTAAGTTTTTCTCCCTGACGTCACGATTTTTCTTAAAAGGACTTTGAAATTTTAAAGATATGATTAACTCAAAAAACTATTTAAAAAACTCAGTGCAATGTAGAATAACAATGTGGATATCACAGAAAAGAGAAAATTCTGTAGAATTAAAACAGTTGTTGGTGCCATCGGTGGACTATTTTTTGAAATTTCACAGGATGGGAAAACTTATAGCCATTTTCTTCAAGAAATTTTCAAAACTTGTATTAAAAATTTTGCGTGATTAAAGAAGGAAAAACTTCATACGAATCAGAAGGAGTCGTTGGTTATTAAATAATTAGTTTTTTTTAGAGTTATGTAGTTACTTTTTTCAATAAAGGATATTTTCTCATTAAATATCAGTTTTTTTTCACTCAATATCAGATATTTTATTATTCAATATCAGTTATTTTACTTCGTTCAATATCAGATATTTACCTTTTTCAGTTCGCTTCACGAAACTATCCATATTTTTTTACTTATCAAAACACTCACTGAAACAAGAAAATATTGGTAATTGTACGCTTCCGAAATTTTTTTATGAAAAGGTGCTGCCAGGCTGTGTCAAATGCGCATCCGATTGCATGTCACCTTCAGAACCCTTTGCAGCTGAGCAGGTATGATGCCATCGGTCCCCGGCGACTTTAAGGTTTTAGCGAACTTATCGCCCAGGCCATGTGACTAAAAGTGCAGGAACTGAAGTACAAAATAACGCAAAGAAGTACATTTGACTGAACTTCGAAGTACGAAGTACAAGAGCTAAAAAAGAAGTACTGTACAGAAAATGTTTACTGTGGCATCGATACTGTCGTATCTGAATATCCACAGGAGCAAGTAAGATTCGCCACAGAATTTTTAAACTCTATAACACCTTTTAATTTTTTTTGATTGTATAGCCATTTGTAATGAAATTTGTCAGCTAGAGAAGTGAAAGAATGGAAAGTCGTAATTTATGTGTTGATCTATGAGTACCTTTCTTAACTGAGATTACTAACCTTTTGAAATTTTTCGAAACAGTTAAAGAAAATTCAACTTAAAAGGTAGCACCAAGGCATATCAGACACGTATTAGAGCAAAAACAACAGTGATGTGTATTTCGTATTTTTTCTTGTCTTACCTAAAGTTCGACTTTAATTTTTAGTAAATTTTGTTTGGTTCTCGAATGCTCAGCGTTTGTGCTGAAGACTTAAGAGCGAAATACACAACACAAGCGGCTTGACAAACCAAGCGAAATTTCCCTTTGCTTCAAGCCATTTGTGCTGTGTATGGGGGTGTTTGAAGGTTTGACAAACCGCTTGAGGGAAATTTGAGCAAAAATCAAAATTTTTTGATTTTCTGGCCGCCATGTTGATGTTTGATCAAACCGCTTGCGTTGTGTATAGCAAAATCGCCTCATTCGCAACGAAATTTTCACCGAGTAAGGACGTAAGAGAGGAAAATGAAAGAAAACCATAATATTTAGCATTGCGAACTGGAAGAAAACTAAAATTCTTTGCTTGAACGAGTCATGTTTGCATGGTGTATGGCGAATTGGGAAAAGTAGGTTTGAAGAATGTTTGACAAGCCGCTTGTGTGGTGTATTTCGCTCTTTAGGTGAACGTTCCAAACGTTGCTTTTCAATTCCTTGTTTTGTATGGGAAAGGGTTTCACATGTAAAAAGATTTTGACAATTTATATTTTTTTGCGAGAAAAAATTAAAAATATTTGGTATTTTAGAGACCAAATAATTTGAAAAAAATAAAAATATAATAAAATCAGCTGCTCTACTGATACTACCTGTTCAATGTGCCTTGGGTTGGTACAAAACATTGCAAAGAAGTACATTTGACTGTTCGAAGTACGAACTACAACGGCTCAAAAAGTCCTGTACTTCCGAAAGAAGTACGGTTGGTCACATTAGTCATACTGCATACATACATAGTACGTACCTTCTTTCCACTCGACAAGTCACTCTGTTTTCATTTAATCGCCTAAAAATATGCAGCAAAACGTTATTTTTGCACTTGCTATACACAAACTCGAATGAAAAGTAAAAGAAACACCCTGTATATTAACTAAACAATCATCCAAAGCCACCGTACCATGATCCAACTACACAAGATCTGGCAAGATGAAGCAAAAGAAAAAAGTAATTTTCTGGCTGACGTTTGTAATTTCGGCGCCATGTTATTTTCTGTGAAAAGTAAACGAAGAATATGAAGACGAAGCATAAAGAAAAACTGCAAGCAATGTTGTGCACATGTTTGTGCTAACCAATTTATTATTTTTGTACGTACCTGAGTTAAAGGCAACCACCCAGCCAGCAAAGAAATGTAAATTTTGCCGACAGTGTAGTTTTGTTAAATTTTGCGTATTCGAAAAGGAATAGAAAAACTGCAACAGTTATCATCAATTTTCGTAACCGGAAAACGTCCGAAACGTTCGAAAAAGATGATGTCATTTGAAAGCAATAATTGTATTTTATTCGCTCAAGCTAAACATTTGAAAGCATGCATGCGTAGTCGGCAGTGGCTGAGCGTGCAGAGGAGTTTGCCGCTATTTGTTTGCTTCCAGAAGGTGCCGAATTCCGTAAGGCGCTTCCTAATTTTATTTTATTTCTTTTGAACCATGAAAAAGTATATGTAAAGTGCTGAAGGAAAGCGTATTGAACGAAGAATTCAATCAGACAAATTTCAGAAAAAAACAGCCGAAAACGTATCCATTTCATATACTGTTGTTTTTACATGCGTTTCTGCCGCACACTTTAGTGGGAAAACGGATCGTCAAAGTAACCGAAAATGGAATCAGTAAACGGACAAAAATTCTAACTTTTTTGTCCTTTTCCGGATCGGTTTTGTGATTTTTGCTTGCTGGGCATGTTTTCCTATTAGATCCGTAAAATTGTCAAGTGCAAAGCGAATGGGTTTGGTGGTAAACGAGGACAAAACGAAGTATATCCTGTCATCAAACAAACAGTCAGCACATTCGCGCCTTGGCACCCATGTCACTGTTGACAGTTACAATTTCGAGAAAGAGAATTTCGTTTACTTGGGGAACCAGCATTAATACCGATAATAATGTCAGCATTGAAATCCAACGCAGAATCACTCTTGCCAACAAGTGCTACTTTGGACTGAGTAGGGAATTCAGGAGTAAAGTCCTCTCTCGACGTACGAAAACCACGCTCTATAAGTCACTCATCATGCCCGTGCTGGTATATGGCGCAGAAGCATGGACAATGACAACATCCGATGAGGCGGCTCTTNATGCCCGTGCTGGTATATGGCGCAGAAGCATGGACAATGACAACATCCGATGAAGCGGCTCTTGGAGTGCTTGGCCATGTCGTTCGAAAGAACACCGTCGTTCCAGCTCTGAAAGTATTCAACTCGGAATCCGCTGGTGGTAGCAGAGGAAGAGGGAGGCCACCACTGCGATGGAAAGATCAGGTGGAGAAGGACTTGGTTTCACTTGGCGTTTCCGATTGGCGTCAGTTGGCACAGAGGAGAAACGACTGGCGTGCTATGCTGAACTCGGCCAAAATCGTTTAGGCGGTTACAGCGCCAAAAAAGAAGAAGAAGAAAGATTTTATTAACTACACATCCACAGAGCAAAACTGCGATCGAGCCTGGTTTTTTTCATTCACTTTATGGAAAATATAAGAAAATATTGACATGCAAGTGGTAAAAGTGGCATATACGTACCAAGCATATACAGTACATCTTACACTACATACATAGGTACGTACCACAGTGATCGGAATTAATAAAAATTCTGGAAAAATATGTGGTAGATTTAGAAAAAATGTGGTAGATCTCAGGTTTGGATCAAACTTTTTACAAAAATTAAAAAAAGGTTTCACCCAAAACTGCAAAATTTTTAATTAGAATCTCTGGAAAAAACTTTTAACTTGGGTTTTACCGATTTTGACAATTCTCAAGTAAAAGTAAACAACGCCTTAGAAACTTTAGATGCACTGTAATGTGCTAATACTTTCACAAAAATCGCCGATTTTTTACAATTTCTTTATTAATTAGTTCTGCTTTGTTTGCTTACTTCTACAAAAGACGAAAGCTGGCCGTTTTTACCAGTGTTGTCATCGCAAATTCCCCGAATCCCAGTTGATTCCCAAAAATTTCGTGCATTTCATCGGCTGCTTAAGCGCATTTCGCAGAATTTTTATTTAAAACATGACGATTAATTTTCCGCTTTCCGCCATCTCCTATTTGCTTCACTGTAAATGTTAAGCACACGTTAAGGGTTGTTTAAGCCACGCCCGGTTTACACGTATGTATATATGTATGTATTATAAGTACGGTGACCATAAATATGGATTCAAAATGAAGGACAATTTTTCAAAAATATGCCTACATATATTTACGTAGTATAAAAATATCAAAAGAGTATTTATGATTCTAAATTCTTAATACATTTTAAACTTTAAAAACGAATCACGTTTTCTTCATCGATATTAATCTTTTTTTACATGAATATTTATAAAAGTATAGTAAAACATATTATAATTACAATAGCTTACACGAAAATTGAAAATCTTTAAAAGATTATTTTTAGGGCAAATTTTGACTCGTTCAAAACGAAAACAATACCCTTTTTTTTGTTTTTTTGTACTTTTCGCATTTATTTGTCAAAAATCGACGTCATGAATCGACGTAAACGACGAGTTACAAAGGTATTTATGTGCCCTTTACAAAGATATATAATTTGTGCAGATTGCACTTCATTGCATTTACATTTCTAATCCGATTTTCATTATCTTCGGCTCAAAATTTACTGTAATGATATATCTTCTTTATCGAATTTTTAAACTAATGAAAAAAATAATCAAATAAAACTGTGTATTTGATTGAAAATCTCACTTTTTTCGACTTTGACGACAAAATGCAAATGGTCGCCTGTAGCACTAATAATTTTCATTGAAGTCGCCACAAGTTATATATTTTGGTAAGAGGCACATCAATACCCTTCGAGATGTAAGTCGCTTACGTTGATTGGGAGATTTTTTCATGAGATACGCTACGAAAAGTACCAAGAAACACTTTTTTGAAAAAATCCATCCATTGTCCGATAATTTTAAAATAACGGATAAAATACATACATTTTCAGGTTTTTCAGGTTTGGAAAACTACGCAGGACCTACCTTTGAAAAACAGTACGGTTCTGCAAAAAACAGAACGGATGGTCACCGTAATTATAAGGGATGTTCATCGAGTCCCTGCAGCGGGTTATTGGCCGTTTTAATATAATAGTGCTCCCTTATTACATAAAGGAATTTGTTATTTATCATTTAAATACAAATAATAAATTTTGAATACTTATCCATGTTCTGTTTCCCTCCCGTGACCACCACGCAAATATCGGACTTAAACGTACCAAAATAAAGCAATACATATCGTCGCCTGCGTAAAAGATTGTCGTATGTTACGCACGTACGTATGATGCTTACGACAATCTTTTACCCAGGCGACGATATGTAGATACCCCTTTTTACATAACTACTATTTCTTAAATTATTTTGGGGGCAATTCACGTCAAATGTCCCAGCGCCCTGAGTGGTGCAAAACAAGCTACTTTTCGACTAGCTGCGAAGCAGACAGAAAATAGGTAAAACAATTCGAAAACTATGATTTCTATAGATTTTTGTACGGGCTATGCGATGGCGCTATGCGTTTTCCAAAATTTTCCCTTTTTCATGGTGAAAATTCTGAACGAAAATTTATTTGTAATTTTTCCGAATTATGGTCATTTTTAATATTGTTTTTAGTTATCTCAATCGAAATATCAAGTCTTTTTTACATATAAATCACTAACAAAAAGGACTTTTTTTTTACTTTTCCGAGTTATAAAGCCTTTTAGAGCGCAGCGCGCTAATCTGCTAACCGTGTGAGTCATAATAATATTGTTATAATTTTGCAACTACTTGATGTTTAATTCTGAAACTTTCGCAAAAACTTCCCTACATAGTCATCTACAATACTGTTTTAAAACAAAAAATTTATTTCAAACTTTATAACACAACTTTTGCATTTGAAAACAAACACCCTCTTAATTCTCATAAAAAAGGTATAAACCTGTAGTTTTATTTGTAGTGAGTAAACTTAAATTCTTTGGAATAGTTTGTAACTAGTTTATTGTGTGAAAATTTCAAATCGATCGATACACAAACGACTGAGATATAACGCGTTTAAATGACAATTTTTGTCAAAATTATCAAGAATCAGTTCAGCCCAATAATAAAATTTCAAACAACGTCACGCTTCAGCTTTTGTGCCTTCGATCACAGGAAAATAAATAGCAAAGACAAATTTAAATTTGAACAAATCGTCGCCTGGCTTGATTCAAAGCGAACATTTGAAAGCGCACTTACAAGTTGTGCCTGTAGCTGAGTGCGCAAAGATGCTGGCTGCAATTAGTTGCGGCCGAAAGTGTTCAAGTTCAAATCTCACTATGCAGAACATATAATTTAAAATCTTTATTTTAGTTTTTTTTTAATTATGAAAAAGTATCTATGAAGTGCACAACGAAAAAAAGTGGTTCGGTTACAGGTTACATGTTACTACTATAAGTAATAGTGAAAAGTTACGCAGCGGGAGTCAATTCTCACCTCCTAGGACAACTCCCTGTTAAATGCGACAGTAGAAAGCATGGCTGATAGATTTGCAAGGTACCGGTATTCGACTCCCGAAAACTGGTGAACTCACTAGCTCTGTACTAGTATTTCCTCTGCAGGGGAGTACAAAAGTATTTAGGTATTTACATACATATGTTATAGTAAATATTGCATGCAAGACAGCAACCGTATTCACGAACCAACTGAGCCAACAGTGTGGCTTTAGACCTGGCAAGTCTAATTTTGGGAAGAACCTTCGATATACAATTTGCACACGCCATCTTTTTGTCGATTCTAGAGCTGCCTTTGATAGCACGAAAAGAAGCTGCCTGTACGATGACATGTCTAAATTTGGGATCCCCGCAAAACTAGTATGGCTTTGTAGTGTGACGTTGAGCACAACTTTCAGCACCGTCAAAATTGGGAAGGAGCGATTTTTCTCAATCTGATGCTGGAAAGCGTGAAGAGCTGCCAGCCTGAATCCTGAATCCAGCACCATAAACAGCAAAACCACGATACTGCTGGCGTATGCAGATGATACTGATATCGTTGGCATGAAACTCAGAGATATCAGTGCAGCATTTTGCAGCTTAGAAAAAGTAAGTAACGAGGTTGGTTTAGCAGTCAACGAGGACAAGGCA